GGAGAGATTTCTGGGTTCCAAATCAGGTTCTTGGACAAGAAAAGAAGGGAAAAATCAAGCTCTCTACCGGTTTCCTCAAGGCATGGCTGGGTTTCCTTTTTTTTTTTCTTTCGGGTGGCTGCAGCAGGTTCGGGAAGAGCAGAAGCACGCGGGGAAGAAGAAAGAAGAAAAAGGAGAAAATATCAGCTATCCTTATCCAATTCTCCTCTTTTAAGCCCCTGAACTTTCAAAAATTTGGCTATTAAGCCTAAAACAATATTTTCTCTCATAAAAGTCCTTAACTCACACTTGTTTATTCTAGAAATTTTGGGGTATCACAGTGATTCTAGTCGGTAAAGTTGCCAAGTAATACCAACAAGAAGCTGGTTGGTGATTTGGGCGCGGATTGTAAATTTTTTTGGTTTTTGGTTTCTTGCTCCTGGTATCTTACCCATTTGATGTTTGTCGGTGAAATTAATATCGACTAAACACACATGGGTAAATTGGCTTATATATACCCCCACCCACCACTCTACCCCGCTTATTTCTTCTTGTCTTCCTTCGCATTCTTCTTCTTCTTCTTTTTTCTTCTCCTTCGGCTTGCCTCTTCTTTTTCTTCCATTCAATGCTGTTGGATTAATTGTTTATGTTTATAATTACATTATTGATATAATTTTAGGTTTATATCTTTTCAATCTCCTCTCTTTTTCTCTTTCATTGTTTCTCCCTATTTGATTAAATACTAATTTGTGTTATTCATCAATTTATTTGCATTTTTAATTTTGTTTTCCTGGAAACATTAGGAGATAATCATTGGGGTAAATAAATTTTCTTTGTGCAAATTAACATTCAATTTTATTTATATGTTGATTAGAGCTATTAGGGTTGAAATTAATTATAGATAAATACTAACCTAATTTATGTTTTTTCATTTTCTTAGGAAATTGTGTTATGCAAATCTTCATCTATTGACGTCATCTTTAATTAATTTTTTAGGTTATCTAGTTGTATTTTAACTTTGTCATTTTATTCTTCTTTTTTAAGTTATGTTTTAATCTTTAATTTAAATAAATAAATACAATAATTTTCTGATTACATTGTAAAATTTTCATATTATATTTATTTTTTATGATATTAAATATTACGAATTACTTAATGTTTAATTGTAAATTAATTTAATTAAACAATATACATATATTAATCTCAATATAAGTTGAATTCAAGAAATTTTTTTTTATTTTTCCAAAGTTAATTACCAACATTATTCTCGTCGGTAACTAGGAGGAAAAAAAAATGGCGCCTAAAATTGCCGACTCAAATCTTGTTGGTAACTTTTAAATTTCAGATATTTCTCAATCCATTGGAGCAAAGAACTTTGTGTATTTCAGACGTGATCTTTGTTGGTGAATCACTGACATGGCCCAAATTACGAAGCATTTTCCTGTATTGGCAGACGTGATGTTTGTCGGTGATTAGCTCAGGGCTCGAGGTCCTTCTTTATCTACAGACGTTATCCTTGTCGGTAATTTACCGACGTGCAAACCAAAGATGATTTTCGGTGTAATTGTTCCAGTCCTTTCTTTGCAAGATGTTTCTTGTTGGTAATGGGAGTGAGTTTACTGACGTGATTTTCATCTATGTCGGTGAATGAATTACCGAGCTCGGTTTCACCGACAAAGCCATTACCTACGTGATCCAAGTTGGAGGCCTGTTTCACCGACCAGATTTCCTTTCTTACTAACATGATTTCTCGTGGGTGAAATAGTGAATTCTTGTAGTGATATTTTAAGGTATAAAATATTTACAATAAATGTGTTCACATCTTAACATCCCCTCAAACTTAAGGTGGTTGTGATGAAACCAACTTGAGTTTGGAAAGAAGAGTACGAAAGCGTCTAGGTAAATGAACCTTGATAAAAAGGTCTATTGGTTGATCAGTAGAGCCAATGAAAACCAAATGAATAGTTCCTTGTGCAACATGATGGCGAACAAAGTGACAATCAACCTCAATGTGTTTAGTGCATTCATGGAAAACATCATTATGTGCAATATGTATAGCACTCTGATTGTCACAATACAGATTAGTAGCAAACGGTTGAGGAACACCCATATCTTCCAATAGCCAGCGTAAGTTAAGTAACTTTGATGTGGTGTTTCCAAGTGCTCAATATTCGGCCTTTGTGCTAAGACGTGATGGAACTGTTTGCTTCTTGCTACGTCAAGAGATTAATGAATCACCAAGAAAGAGATAATATCCAATGGTGGATTTATGATCATTGGAGTCTCTAACCCAATCAACGTTTGAGTAAGCATGAAGCTCAAGAGATGAGTGAGTACAAAAGTGAAGTCCATGAAACAATGTTCCCTTTACATAGTGAATAATATGAAGTACTGCTACATAATGAGTGGAGCGAGAGCAGCCATAAATTGACTAACAATATGAATTGCATATGCTATGTCAAGGCGTGTTATGGTAAGATAAACCAGACTACCAACCAATTGCCGATAGCAAGTAGGATCAAAAAGTGGAGAGCCATCCTAAGGTGTAAGCTTGACATTAGGCTCAAGAGGTGTAGAAACACTTTTGCTATTATTGAGTTTAGCTTTAGAAAAAAGATCAATGGCATACTTTACTTGAGAAAGTAGGTAGCCATCACTTGAAGATATGACTTCAAGCCTTAGAAAATAGCTCAGAACATCAAGATCTTTCATCGCAAATTTCTAACTGAGAGATTGTTTTAACTCCTCGACATCTGCGATAACATCTCCAGTAATAATCATGTCATCAATATAAAGAAGTAAAAGAACCATACCCGAGCAGTCTTACGAATGAGTAGAGCTGTATCATGTGGACTCGAAGTAAAACTAAATTCACTCACTGTAGCACTAAACTTTGCATACCAGGCTCAAGGGGATTGTTTCAACCCGTATAATACATGTCGTAATCGGTATACCTTGTTTGGAGGATGGTTGAGCACAGGAGGTGGTTTCATTTAAACTTCTTCTTCTGGGTCACCATTAAGAAAAGCATTTTTCACATCCATTTAAAATAATTTCCATCTCTGTATAACAACAATAGCAAGCAAACTGCGCACAGATGTGAGACAAGCAACTGGAGCAAATGTTTCCTCATAATGTATTCCGTACTCATGTGTAAAACCCTTGGCAACCAAGTGTGCCTTATAATGCTCCACAGAACCATTAGATTGTGTTTTGATCTTATACGCCCATTTATAGCCTATTAGAGATTTTTTAGCAGGGAGATCAACTAAATCCCATGTACGAGTGTTCTCAAGAGCCTATAATTCATCTTGCATAGCTTTTTGCCAAAAAGGGTAGGTAGAGGCTTCTCGATATGATTGACGCTTATGTAAAGAAGTAATAGCAAGAAAACAATGATAATCGCGAAGGTAGCTAAGAAGGTTTCTTGCCCAAGTATGACAACTTGAGGATGGAACAATAAGCTCATTTGGAGACTCAACAATATTAGATGCAACATGAACAGGTGATATAGATGAGGAAGTAGAGGAAAGCTCAAAATTATCTAATGCATTACCAGCAGGAAAATCATCTTCTATAGAACTAGTTGTAGAGCTCATCAGATGTATCTGCATCAGAATCACTAGGGAATAGCTCAACAGAAGGATTAGTAAAAAATGAAGGTTGATCAAAAGATGACACTTGGAAGTTTGATAATGAGGAAAACATAGTGTGTTCCCAAAAGATAACATGACATGAGACTCAAAGTTTTTGTGACACAGGATCCCAACAACGATATCCTTTATGTGTAATCCCATAACCCAAAAAACAACACAATCGAACTTTAGGTTCTAGCTTGTTATGTTCATAAGGTGGAAGAAGAACAAAACAAGCACAACCAAAAACCTTAAGAAGATCATAAGTAGGAGGAATACCATGTAAACATTCATATGGAGACTTATTGTTAATCATTGAGGATGGAATCCAGTTAATGAGATAAACAACTATAAGAGTAGCTTCACCCCAAAATCGCTTTGGACAAGAAGATGAAATGAGCAGAGCATAAACAGAATCAAGGATATGTCTGTGTTTGCATTCGGCTCACCCATTTTGTTTAGAAGTGTAAGGACAAGATTTTTGTGTCAATGTACCCTATTCTTTGAGAAAAGATTGAAGTTTAGTACTAAGATATTCAGTGGCATTGTTAGTTCTCAAAACTTTGATAGTTTTAAAGAACTGGGTTTTGACCATGGTAGCAAAATCAATATAAATTTGTGGTAATTTAGAGCGATTTTTCATAAGATATATCTAGGTAAAATGAATATTGTCATCAATAAATAACAGGAAGTACCTGGAACCCCCCATGGTGGGTGTAGGAGATGGACCCCAAACATCAGAATGCACGAGATCAAAAGGAGTAGTAGAATGACAATGACTACTCGAAAAAGATAAAGCTGGTTGCTTTGCAAATTAACATGATACACAATGCAAAGATTCATTTGGAATTGATCCTAATAAACCACGAAAGGTAAGTGAATAAAGTTTACCGACTGAGGTATGTCTGAGCCGTGAGTGCCACAAATGGAGAAGAGAAATGTTAGTAGCAACACAGGCTTGCAAAATTTCTTAGTATGGAATTTGTAAAGACTTTAATTCAATAGCATAAAGCAAGGTTTGGATGAATCGATCATTTGGAAATGATGGTGTATCCATTTTATTATAAAGACTATGTGGATAGTTGAGCTCAAACAAATGCCCCACCTTGCGACCAGTTCCAAGAAGTTGTTCTATCCATGGGTCCTGCAGATGACAACCATGAACAAAAAATGTCACTTCAAGACCAAGATCACATAACTAACCAATAGATAGAAGATCATAACTAAGTTTTGGAACTAAGAGGGCATTTGGTAAAATCAATGACGTTGTAGAGATATTGCCAATGTGACTAAAATTCATAAGGGAACCATTAGCAGAATAAATATTAGGAAAGGAATTATTTGGTGACATTGAAGAGAAATGAGCAGTAATTGAAGACATATGGTTACAACAACCAGAATCAAAATACTAAGGTTTGGTACCTGGAGCAGTAGACAAGGTAGTAGGAGCATTAAAAAAATTTAATATCACTTGTTTTAGGGATTCAAGGTTGACATTAGGTTGGTTTATCACTTCTTTGGCAACCATAGCAGTAGTAGGATGAGTTACAGTCCTTTCAAAACTCGCCATAAAATCAGTAAAACTCATAATACTGAAAAACTCTAAAAAAATGAAGAAATAGATACCAAGATCAAAATAACAAGCCAACAAAATACCTTAGAAAGGGCCAGCGAATCAAGGATAAACAATCTAATATGCAGCATAAGATATCCCAACGAAAAAGTTTCAGATCTGGAATGGAATTGAAAATCTAACTCAAAAAATCAAACAATGATGATAAGAGAAAAGAACCAGGAGCTTATAGCTCTGATACCATGTTAGAAATTAAAAAGAAGAATGATTTGAAAAAAGGTTTATTGCTTTCTTGAATAATATTGTATGTACAATGATCTATATATAGATATTTACAAAAAGTATATTTTAAGGTATAAAGTATATAAAGAAAATATTTTAAGTTATAAAATATTTACAATAAGTGTGTTCACATTTTAATAGGTTCTAATGGGAGGTTCGTATAAGTTCTTTGATCACTACTTGGCAGTCTAGTCTTGGGAACCAAGTTTTCATCCAGCTAGAGCGAAGGCCCTGAAGACTGCAATATCAGTTAAACTACATGGAGTACTCTCCATGTACTTCCAGGAAGCCATTGTCATGTACCTCGCTAGCAAGTTAGGCAAGAGAATTAATGTAGATAGCATAACTCTGTTGGGTACAAGGGAGAAATTCGCATGTGTTTGCGTGGAAGTTGATCTTAGTTAAGAGTTACCATCAACTCTTGATTTGGATTTGGAAGAATTGCCACAAACCATGATTCTAGTGGAGTATGAAGGTTTGCACAAAATTTGTTTTCATTGTGGAGAATTTGGTCACACTGGGGACTCTTGCCATTATAAACACCCAAGGAAATCGGTTTCTACGAGAAATTTAAATGCCCAAGTTATGATTGATCTTACACAATCTTTAAAGCCGGACACAGCTGAGAACACGAAGGCTTTTGGCCCATGGATGGTGCAGCAACACAAACCAAGGTGGCAGAGTCGGCAATACCCTGAACAACTCCTAAGATTCTTAGACAAGAGGAAAAGAAAGAAACTTACTTTGTTTTATTTTTTTTCCTCGTATTTAACTCCCCTAACATCTACTTAATTATAAGGTTTTTTATATATTTTTATAAAGAAAGAAATTTCCTTTTATTTGTAACCGTTCAAAAATAATTTGTAAAAAAACTAAGACCGATGAAGGGAGGGAGTAATTATATAAAGCATCAAGGTCATAATTAAGAAATTATTACTCATAAGTTAATTAGTTTATCTCATGATTACGTCCCTCAAGGAATTATTCATTATTATATGCTTAATTTCTGCAATACCCTGATACCAAATACATATATAGGCCCTTTATTAGTAAGGTCGCTGCCCAATGATATTGCCTCGAGGATCGTAGTTGCAACTGATGAGTGTTCCACCGTTGTTGCACCTCACCTTAGCACATCCTAGACGGACCGAGTTGCGCCACACCACCTGAGTGTAATGCCCACAGACCTTACCGGCGATGCAACTATTGGATTGGTAGTCATAGTAAGGCTTCTCATTGACCCACAATTGGACGGCAGCCACGCCAGTCAAGTCGCCGCTGCTCCACGCAAGGTTCTCTCCATAAGGTCCACCAGAGTGCACCATTTTGCAGTCACCAATGTGCTGGTTGAGGTAGTTCTGTGCGTATGCAGCCAAGGTGGGGTCCCAAGTCATTGGGCCAACACCTACAGCGGAACGAGCTGAGTTGTGCGCATTGATCAAGTTTTGTGGAGAGAGCTGAGCATGGGAGGGGAGGACATGTGCTAGGACCAGGAGACAAGCAAAAGCTAGGGAAACCTTGGTAATATCCATTATGGTGTGACTGTCTCTATAATAAAGAAATGCTGAAACTATCTGAACTAGGTACGAGAAATGGATGAATTGAAGTGGTATTTATAATGCAAAAAATTAAAGTGCAATTTTTTTTGAATGGATTAAAATTTTTATAATTATTAATAGAAAATAAAAACTTTTTGACATTAAAAATTATTTTTTATTAGTAATTAATAATAATACAATTTACGTCCCGCACTCGGTGGCCAAATGGCCACCCCCTTGCAAGGGACGTGCGTAGGATTACATGGACTTGGGATCAATCCCAAGTTCCCCCATTCCCTCTTCTCCCAAGAAAAAAAAAGATTTCACACTGTTAAAAAAAAAATAATAATAATAATACAATTTACGACAAATTACAGTACACCACATCATCCCCTTAATAATATTTTTATGTGAAAAACTATAAAGTCGCCATCAATAGTTCGTTTTTCTATGGAAAATTGTGCCAATAAATGACCATAAAAAAAAATTGTGCCAATAAAAACAAGGCGGCTGCACCCCTAACTTGCCTGCTAATTTTAGATGCATTAAATTTTTTATATTTATCAAAATTTTATTTATTGTAATAATAATCAAATTATTCTTATTTTTTTATATTATTTTATGTTTAAAATAATAATAATAAATGGTATTTATAATAAAAAAAATTAAAGTGCAGTTTTTTCTGAATGGGTTAAAATTTTTATAATTATTAATAAAAAATAAAAATTTTTTGATATTAAAAATTATTTTTTTATTAATAATTAGTAATAATACAATTTACAAACAAATTACAGTACACTACATCATCCCCTTAATAATATTTTTATGTGAAAAACTATAAAGTCACCATCAATAGTACGTTTTCCTGTGGAAAATTGTGCCAATAAAAATAAGGAGGCTGCACCAAAGAAGTCAATTTCATATCGTACCGTATCGGTCATATCGGTTTTGACACTTGACCGAAACGGTACAACATCAAATTTCGTTTCGTTCAAAATCCAGTTGTTTCGGTCAAAATTCGGTGTACCGGCCAGAATTTTATATACCGACCGACACACCGAAATATGACCGGTACACTTAAGTTCAAACTAAAAAAAAAAAACAATGGATTTCCGATTGCAGATCTGTTTCTGTTCTCCTTCTTCATCATGAACGACGAACGCCACACGCCGCACGCCACGAACGTCTTCCTCAACCTGTCGCCGATGGGTTGGAGATTCAGTGAATGCTTCGCTTCCGTGATTACGGGCTAGATCTGCTTCATCTTCTCTCCATTTCTGGTAGCTACCGAACCCTTCTGCTTTGGTGATTACCGGTGATGAAGGTGGAGGCTATGATGATGATGAGATGCTCAGCAAGGGAATGGTGAAGATGGAGGTGAAAGAATGGAGGTGATGGTGGCGATGGTGGATCTGCAAAATGGAGAAAAATCAAGTTTTTTTTTTTTGTTTTCTCTTTTTTTTTTTTTGGATTGGCAGCCGCACCTCCTCCTTCTCCCTTTAAAAGAAGGAAACTAGGGTTTTCTTAAATTTGAGTTTTGATGGGCTGCTTAATATTGGGCTGGGCTTATGGGTTTATTTTATTAAATTTCACACTCAGCTTTTTAATTTTTTCAATTGGGTCCTTTTTTTTTTTCTTCAACTTCTCCCCAAAATTTTTCATAAAATTTTTTTATAACGATAAATCCAAAACGGTACACGAAAAATTTCGGTATCCAGTACGTACCGTTTCAATAACAAAACCGATACGTATGCCGGTACGATATTGACTACTTTGGGCTGCACCCCTAGCTTGTCTGCTAATTCAGGTGTATTAAGTTTTTAATATTTATTAAAGTTTTATTTATTGTAATAATAATTAAATTACTTTTACTTTCTTACATTGTTTTATGTTAAAATAATAATAATAAAAAATGATATTTATAATGCAAAAAATTAAAGTGCAATTTTTTCTGAATGGATTAAAATTTTTATAATTATTAATAAAAAATAAAATTTTTTTAACATTAACAATTATTTTTTCCTAATAATTAATAATAATACAATTTACGAGCAAATTACAGTACAATACATCATCCCCTTAATAATATTTCTATGCGGAAAGCTATAAAGTCGCCATCAATAGTACGTTTTTCTGTGAAAAATTGTGCCAATAAAAACAAGGAGGCTGCACCCTTAACTTGCGTGCTGATTCAGTGTATTAAATTCTTGATATTTATTAAAGTTTTATTTATTATAATAATAATTAAATTATCCCTATTTTCTTACATTGTCTCGTGTTCAAAGAAAAAAAAATAAAATAAAAACAAGAAGGCTGCTCAGTGATTTGGATTTTTAGTTGTGGAAAATTGGCTGGTGAAGGGCTTCTAATGGTTTATATAGGCAAATTATGTTGTGATGGTTGAAGTATTCTTAATATGTTTATAATAAAATTATTATTTTTTAAATAATTATTAATAAAAAATAAAAATTTTTAATATTAAAAATTTACTTTTTTATTTTAAATTTTAACATAAAAAGTTCTTTATAAAGATAAAATAATCATAAAACTATGAAAACGTTTTAAAAAATAAGTTTTTTTTATCAATAATTAAAAATAATACAATTTACATGAAATACAGTAAGTTACAGCACTCTCTTTATAATATTGCAATGTGGAAAATTATAACCAAGTAGCCACGAAGAGGACGTTTTTCTGGGGAAAATTATAACCAAGCAGCCATCAAGAGTACGTTTCATTGTGGAAAATTGTGCCATTAAAATGAAGGAGGCTGCTCGGTGGATTTGGAATTTTAGTGGTGGAGAATTGGCTGGTGAAGCTTTTTTAATCGTTTATACAGGCAAATTATGCAATGATGATTGAAGTATTCTTTATATTTTCAAAATAAAATTATTTTTTATTGATAACAAATAACAAAAAATTGATTAATTTTCATGTTATTTATAAATTAAAATTTTAATATATAAATTTAGAACTCAAAATTCAATTACAAGATCTCATTTCAAATTATGAAATTTAAGGTTTTTTAATCTTTACCGCATACCAAAGGAAACATTATCACCTTTTTTTTATTTATTGGGCAAGATATCACATCAATTTGCATATTGAAATTAATTTTTTTATTTTAATTAAAAATGAACCATTCGGTATTAAAAATAAGGAATTTATAAAAGAATTATATTTTTATTAATCATTTAATAAATTAAATATTGATATATAAGAAAAGAAGTAGATATTTTTACTAATTAAACTATCAATTATTGAGTAACAAACAAAATCCCAAGGGTTGTTCCATTTATAAGTATTATTTTGTAGGTTAAGTTTATAGTTTAAGTCTTTAAATTAGCTCCTAAGGAAATTAACCTCCATGAGAGTGCCTTTGGAAAATAATCTTGGAAAATGTCTCATTACAGGATTTTGTGAGGATATTTTGATACTTGTATACCTCAAAACTATAATAAATAGAGGGCAAAAATAGAATTTTGACATTTATTTTTCTTAATATAATTCATAAGTAAGCTTTTCTTTCAACCTTTTTGTAAGAGAAAAAGTTTTATATAACTTTTTTTAAATAAGATTCACTTAATGACTTTTCATACTAATTTTTTTATATAATTTTTTTTATCAAATACAATAAAAAAAACTTTATTACAAAATTTAACAATTTTTTATACAATAATACTTTTTAACTTTTCGTACAACAATCACTTTTCTAAAAAAATTTACTTTTAACCACACACACCCTAAATGCATAAAGTTGGGTAACATACACTATTGCATTTATTTACATATTTTGATCATACATAGTACACTAGACAAGGGGATTGAGGATTACAAACCCAAGCCTATGTGTCTACTTGGTAGAGATAGAGTTTACCAAAAAACATTTTATTGGAAATCATTAAATTTAGGACTCGAAATTCAACGTCTCTTAATCATTGCCACATATTCGAGGGAACATATATTATCATTTTTTTTTTTAATTCAATGGGCAAGATATCATGCCAGCCAACATATTGAAACTAATTTCTCTTTATTTTAATTAAAGATTGACCATTTATATTAGAAATAAGGAATTTATAAAAGAATTACATTTATATTAATAATGTAATGAATTGAATATTGGTCCATAAGGAAAGAAGTAGACATTTTTACTAATTAAGCCGTCAATTATTAGATCACATACAAAATCCCAAGGGTTGATCCACTAGTAAGTGTTGCTTTGTAGGTTAAGTTTCTAAATTAGTTCCCAACAAAATTAACCCTCATGAGGGTGTCTTTGGAAAACAATCTTGGGAAATGTCTCATTCCATGATTTTGTAAGGTTGTTTTGATACTTATATACCTCAAAATTATAATAAATAGAGGATAAAAATAAAATTCTTAACCTTTATTTTTCTTAATATAATTCTCAATAAGTAAACTTCTCTTTTGACCTTTTTTCAAAGGAAAAAGTTTCATACAACTTTCTTTATATAAGATTTACTTAATAACTTTTCATACTAATTTTTTTTATATCAATTTCTTATCAAATATAATAGAAATAACAAAACTTCATTACAAAATTTAACAATTTCTTTATACAATAATACTTTCTAACTTTCCATACAATGATAATAAATAATAAATAAATAAATATAAATTGCTATCCTATTTGATGCATAGGGTAACATTTTAATTGTATATAATAACTATATAATAAATAATAAATAATAAATAATATATATTATTATATTATTATTACATATTAAATATATATAAAATGCTACCCTATTTAATGCATAGGGTAGCATTATATATATATATATATATATTACATTCCTATTAATTATTTAATAAATTGAATATTGGTCCATAAGGGAGGGAAAAAGTAGACATTTTTACTAATTAAGCCATCAATTATTGGGTAACATACAAAAGTCCAAGCGTTGATCCATTAATAAGTAAGTGTTGTTTTATAGGTTAAGTTTATAGTTCAACTGTCACGCCCCAGAACCCATATCCGGGGACGCGACAGATGCCGTGCACTCGTGAGAGGGTCCCACAAATACACAAGGCTCGAAACTTATCATATCATAATCTGATACCACAAAATTTGAAGATAATATTTTAAAATTTTCTCTGATATCATAAAATCTCCAAATACAGTCTAACTTACGAGATCATGATCTACATCTAAAATCCATATTCAATTTACAAAATGGCTAGCCTTCTACCTCGTCACTTCCCGTGGTTTCCTCGTCCTCGTTTCGCTTCCTGAAATGGTGGATAAGGAAAAACTATAAGATAAACTCAGTGAGAAAATATGGAGTGCCCTTATTAAACTTATAGCATGCCAACAAGTGCAATCATGAAAAACGGATATAGTACAAGAACGAAATAGACGTTTCCTCTATAGGTCACGACTAGTGTTATAAACCTCCCACTGACAGGCACACGATTTACTAGTGTATAATCCCACTAGCAGGATAACAGAAACGAACCGGTTCTATCAGTAACATGTCGACATGTGCTATCGTTTATAAACCTCCAACTAGCGGGCACACGAATAACATGACCATATCGGAGACAAAACAAGCAGAAGTTAACAGGAAAATCATAATTCATCAATCACTTTCAGATCATCAAGACAATCAATTAAATTTCAAGTAGGCATGCTCAATTTAATGAAAAGCATAAAAATTTCATTTCAATCAATCATACTTGTGTAAAACGGGTTTAGTCCCGCTACCACTTCAAAAACAAATCAAAACATGCTTTTAAAAACTGTATGGGCATTACCATAAATTTACTTACCTTACTCGCATAAAACCGAAAACTCGATCTTAGTGCTAAACTGACAAAACCATCATGAACCTAATTAATAACCGTACCACGGATTCAAAAGTAAATTCACTATGACTACCCCTAATCACGATACTATTTCTATCGATCTTCACATAACCGGACATCTCCAAATTGGTTCTTATGTTACAAACTAAACTCTTAAATCCCTGTTAATTGTTGGCCACTACCCGTGAACAGTACCATGAACAGTGTCGTGAACAGTAACTACACTTCCATAAATTGGCAAAATCATAGCTAATCTCATGGGATTTTCTCCAAAAATCTCACAGCAGTCTATTAACACTCAATCACATAAATCTCACTTAAATTAAGGCTTAAATTTTGGCCTAAAACTATCGGAACTCATCCCCCTAATTTAGCAAACATTCGGACAGTGCAGGGGCAACAATTTCATGGACAAACTCAGCAGCTAATGGATAATTTTAGGCTTAAAGGGGCTGCCACATACCATAATTTAGCAGCAAAACCGGAGCTGCAGATGGGGGAAGGCCGGCGGCAGTGCAAGGGGAATTTCGGGATCTATCAAAATTAGAGAAACCAAGATAAATCAAAGTTAACCCAAGCCATTTAAAGCTGGAAAAGGGAGATTCATGGCTGTTTCTTACCGAAAAATATGCCCAGAAATCACACAAGCTGCAACTCGCGGATGGCAGAGGGAGGAAGATGCAGAGCAGATCTGGAATTCCTTGCTTTAGGGAGGGTTTCTAAGCTCCTAAATCTTGTTCTTGAACAAGAAAGAAGCCAAAAACCAAGC